AGAAATGACTCTGAAAATGGTCACACATCCCTGGCTGGAACTGAAAGTGGATCGTTATGCAGAGGAGAAAGACAAAAAGGAAGGGAAAACTACTGTGAGCTCCTGAGGAGTGGGTGGAGGTTGACGCTTTGCTTATCAATGCTCTTCAGCATCAAAGTCATGTGGAAATAGAAATAATCTGCTTGGGCAACGGCAGCTGCTGTCTGCAGGTCGAGCCTTGGCCTGCAGCACACAGGTTACTGCAGTCCGCAGCCTCTGCCTGCCTTCGCTGCAGCTGCAGTGACAGACATCTGTGTTCTGACAAAGCAATTGCTCATCTAAATTATTTATGGCATATGTGGTATTCTTTCTTTCACTGTGAGGCCTTTAAAGCAGACTGTTTTCTCTCTGTTTATCCTTCAGAGGAAAGCAGGTAAAACGCAGAGTGAAAGACAATGATAGTAAAGATGTCATTTGGGCACATTTTGGAAATCGGCATTAGGGGGAAAAATAGGAAACTTATTTGTCTTGAATGCACTTTATCTGAGAATACAAGTTTCAGTGTGTTTTCGCTGCTGCTTAAAGCCTTAGATTCAATATTGGAAACAGCTTGGTCTGAAACCTCTCTGATTTATCACTGAGGCCGTGCTTTAGGAAATCCTTTAGGGATACAAAATCTGTCCCTGTTCACAAAATACTTATGCAGATGTTTTCATTCCCATTCATACCTGTGAGTTTGAACTTTTGGCTGGGCACAGCCTGCTGAAGGTGGGCTGGGGACTTTATTCTGTCCCACCAAGGCAGAAGTGGCTTTTCTAGAGGCTTGTGTAGTAAGAGCAACTTTGCTGATAGCGTGAACAGATGTGGAATTACCCTCTTGTCCTCGGCTATGCTACAGACAACTGCAGTTGTGGAGTTACAGTAGTTAGCTCTTAGGTTGTACATTGTTTCCTGGCTCTTTGGTTATTTAGTTTTTAATCCCATATTATCATATTTTGTCTTATCCCTGGCCCTCTTAAAATACTATTGTCATATTATCCCATATTATTTTAATTCCATATATCTCTCGGGAACCTGAGAGGTTTAGTTGATGTCATTGCCTGCATTGTGGATGCAGTCTGGATGCTTGGCTTTGATCTTGGTGATGGCAGTGAATGCCACAAAATGTAGCCTGGTGTTAAATATTTTCATGAGCTTTAATGTTTTCTGTTTGCTGTTCTCAGGTGGGGAAGTGCTTCGTTTATTTTCACAGCAGAAAGAGAGTTTCCCCTTACTTGAAGGAGCGGCTCTTACACCATCCCCCTTTCCTCCTTAGCCAGGATACTGAAATTGCAGTTGGGTGATAAGGATGTTCTTTTCATTCAGAAACAGAGCAAGACTCAGCAATTAATTTCTGCGAGGACCATGAGATGGTCATGAGGTGTTCTTAGGCAGCCCTTGATCTCCATTTCTTTGGCAACCTGTGACAGACAAGCTCTGTGGTGTGTTCCCTGTCCTTTGGCAAGCTTGGTTTTGAAATCCTTTAATTCTGCATGCGGAGGTCTTCTCCATCCCTTGACAAGCACAGGAGAAGGCTGCCAGCCAGCTGCAAGACTGACATGTACATTTTCAGTTTTCATAATTGAGTTTTTTGAGCAAAACCCATAGGAGTAAAAAGATTTCAGAAGCTGTAGTTCTACAAATCTGACCATTTGGGAGCCCATTAAACAGGAGGCTTGGGAGGGAGGAGGGAGCGACGGCTCCTTGTGAGCTCGTCCAGTGTCACGAAGCTCCATCTCAGAGGTGCTCGGAAGGGCTTGGACTTGACAAGTAGCCCCAGATTTTCTTCCATCTGATAATTAAAAGTTCTGCATTTCAGCACAGATACAGGTCTTGAGGCCCTGAGATGCCTAAAAGCACGTTTGCCTCTAAAACACAGAGATTTTGAGGGATAAAAATTTGCTTGGGTAAAGAGTACATATAGGGTAAAGAGTACATATAGGGTAAAGCCTAAGAAGGACCCTAACTAGGGTCAGGTCAGGTACACAGAAATATTTGGTGCAAGACACAGCGCAAGCCATTCCCTCGTTGCCTACTGCAGCCAAACCAGTGCTTCAGTGACAGCAGTTGCTACGGAATTGCTCAGCAGCAAATTCTAAGGTATCCCAGAGCAGACATTTGCTCCAAATAGCATCTCTGAGGTGCCTCACCTTCCAGCCTTACCCCTTGAATGCTTCTGTTACCTTATGCCTTGCTGAGAGCAAAGCATAAAGTCCTGGAGTGAGAAAACAGATTTTTGCTATCACTTTCCTATTTTTGTGTACAGAAAGCGTCTGGGGCAGCGAACATCGGGCCAGTGCCCAGCTGATGGCCATGTAGTGCAGTGGTCTGCCCTCTTAAATGGAACTGGAGCTGAAAAAGTCTGATTAGGTTCTGATCAGCTAGAGCAAAAGCAACTTTTTATGGTGACAGCCTGTAATCACCGCAGGGCTGCTCATATTAACTCGCTAATCTGGATCAGTCGGGGTGGTGACATTAATCTCCCCGCTCCTTTCAGCGTGGTCTTGAACATCAATCCAGCCTCTGCCTGTCACAGTAATTGTCTTTTGTCACTCTTGCAGATTGCTTTTCCCCAGAGCAAAGTCCTGGTATTTTTTCATTACCACGGCAGGGAAACAAGGCTCAGCGACAGGGAGTGGCACGATCTTCACTCATTTTTGCTTTTTTTTTTTTTTTAATTTGGTCCAAAGCAAAGGCTTTTTAGTGACTCTTCCTAGCTGAGAACCTGTACAAAACTGATCACTACAGCACCCGTGGCTTCCCAACAGCCCACGAAGCGACACGAGTGACAGCTCTCACGTGTTGGGCTGAACTGACCCACGCCTTGTTCCAGCTGCTGGCTCTGTCTGGCTTCCTTGTAATAGTTGCATTTTAACAGTGTGCTCCAAAACAAAACAAACATCTATTTTCTCCAGTGTTTAGAGTTCTGATTTGCTCCATGATTTTAAATTTATTCTTTGGTTGGGGGAAAAAAAAAAAAAAGAGAGAGAAGCAAAGTAACGAGCAGCAGTCTTGCTAAGCAGCTTCCTTCTGCCTCGTTCTTGGGCTGAAATGCTGGGAACTGCGTGAGTCTTTGCGCTCCTTGTCTCTGGGTTTCCTGGCCTTGTACCCCCGTTAATATTCCTTTCTACACCTGGCACGGGCATTTCATCAGCTTTTGGACATCACCAGGGAATGTGTGTGTAGGACAACGGACAAAGGTAAAAGGGTGAAATCCCGGTAAGGGTTTCATCTCAGTGTATCTTTATAGTGGCGAGTTTTGTGTCAGCTAATGGACCAGGTGAGCAATGGGTCATCATCTATGTTCTTACATTTTTTGGATTCAGCAAAAGGGATGACCTCAGGGGACCCTTTTGCGTCCCTCTTCACAAAGAAGCAAAGTAACGTTTTATTGATACCGTGAAGCAAACATGTGGCTGTATTTGGGAGAATGTGTGTCTGTGATGGTTCACTCGGCAGCCTCAGCTGCAGGCGCCTGGTCTGCGTGTGCAAGCAGTGGATTTGGGTTCTCACACACCAGTTTTAAGTGTGGCCCTAATCACTGAGGGGTAACACGGGTAACCCAGCACCTTTGCACCTACACAGGTCATTGTATTCCAGAAGTATGTCAGACCAGCCTACACAATTGTGACAAGCATAGCATAAATTTGTGCGTTTTGCACTGTCTAATCGCTATGTGCTCATCCCTCGTAATTCCTGCTAAATATTCACAATTCTATGGCTGCCAGGTTGTATCGAGAACCAGAGCTCCTGGGAAATCTTACTGCTTCCAAATACATAAAGATAATTTTTGAGTTGGAGGCCAATGCAATTCGTGTTACTTCAGCCACGCTTGGCACACGTTCCCGAGCCTAGAGATGCAGCGTGACTCGCGAGGGATCACCAGAGCGCTTGGAAAACCAGCCCGAGGAGGTCCTAGCAGGCTGAGCACTTACAGAAAGGAGTGCTTTGGAAGAGGAATACATATCACTTCCATGCGAGTTTTATACCAATGCAGCACATGAGCAAAAGCACAAACCACCTGCGCATCCCTCCGCCCGTGGGCATTCTTTGAAATAAGACTAGAAGGATGTTGAAGACATTTAGAAATGTGAAGCGGTTACTCCTCCCATATGGTTTATTGAGGATCTCGGTTTTCAAAGCATGAGTAGCAGTGAGGCCCTTTATTCTTTCCAACATGCAAAAGGCACAAGAAAGTCATCCATGTGATTCTGTGCAAAGTGTCTCTAAGAAAACATACAGCGAAGAAATGACAGGAAAGAGCCCCAGATGGAAGAGAAAGCCAAAGTGCCTTCAGGAAAGTGCTGAAAAGTTCTGAAAATGGTCGTACTTTTTCAGAGTCCAGATATGCTCAGTCGGTGAAAGATGCTTTGCAAATCCATGAAGGAAAACTCAAGAAACAGAGCCCAAAGGCTTAAAACAATAATCTCCTTCACGTGCCAAAATTCAGGATGGAAGTCAAAATGATTTATCTCAGGAAAAAAGTGCTGCAGTTAAAGACAGACATTAAATTCTTTTTTAAAAAAAAAAGCCCACCAAAACCAGACGTAGAAAGTGGATACATTCTAAGAGCAGATCAATAAAAAATATTCCTTTTAATGAAAATAATTTTAAAAATGGATACTTGAAGAACGCAAATCCACCTTGACTGTGACCAGCTACTGCACCCTGCTCCCAGGAAAGCCTCTGAGCACGACAACACAACTCCTTCTAGAAGGAGAAAGTTCCCACTACCTGCATGTGTGAAATGTGGCCAGTGAACAATTTGGAAACACAAACGTACAGGACCAAGTATCCAAGTCCCATTAGTTAACTTGGGTGTCGGGAAACTTCCCGGGATTCCTTTCTCTCCTGCTGGAGCCGGCCGGTGCTGGAGGCAGCGTCGCTTCCCGGTGGGCATGGCTGAGCCCGGGAACCCCTGAGCCTCTCGCTGGAGTTGAATACTTAAACCTAAAAAAGGCATTTACAAGTTGACGCATTTTTTGTTGTTGTCTTATTTCCTTGCAGTATACGTTTCTACTTCTAGACTATGGAATGTTACATTAAACAATATAATTATTCATTACCTTGCTTCAAATTTCATTACAGTTACTGAGGCTTCATCATAATTTCACACAGCACAGAGACACCAAACTAAACACCAAGCAGCCAGCACTAGATGTATTTTTTCTTTAAGTACCAATAAGCAAAATATCCCATTCCCCCAAGAGATCCCATCAGGAAGGAGGCTCCGAAGAAGGAGGGAGGTTTCCGCTTGACCAGCCTGAAGGCATTGGGTACCACTGCAGAGAGAAGCGTGGTATGTATATCTCCCAAAACTTTCCTGAAGGCGAAGCGTTTTTGTATCCTTTCGAAGAAGGACTGTAAGTTAGGTCTGCTGCCATCTTCCCAGTATTTCTTAGAGAGTCCCAGAAACTTGAGGCGGTGCAGGGTGGCTCCTAACAAGACATCGGCCAAAGTAAAGACACATCCGCAGAGCCAAAGTTCACACTTCTGCCCTGGAAAGAGAAGCGACAGAGCCAGTACAGTAAGAAGAGACCCTTGGGTGGGCTCCTAAAAGCTTGCTCGAAAGATCCACAAAGGCAGAAGTATTTGCATTAGACCTGGGGTGTTTTTCCTCAGCTCTCCAATGTCCCAAGAGATCAGACCCCATCTGCCAGGCTATGTGATGGAGCATACGTGGGTCCAAAAAGCTGGGAATATAGGATGATCATTTATAGCCCACGTGAAGATACAAATCACTGTCTGCAAAATGGTTCTGCTGACTCTCTCCCATGTCAAGAACAGGAGGAGATGGCATCCTCCTGTACCCAGGAGGTCCCTGGAAAAGGTCCCTGCCCCCCCCTTGAAGGAAGATGCGGTGCAGTAACCCCTAATGCTGTGTTAGCGCCTGGGGAGAGCAGCAGTGCTTGTCCTTGGCTGCACTGCGAGCTGTTTCAGGGGTGTCATGTTAACTTCTCCTATTTTAGGGATGTGAGAAATCCTCAGGAATCAAAACCATTTGCTGGCCTGGCCTGGCTGCTCTCCCTGTGCGCTGTCAGGGAGGTTCTGCCTCTGTCCCCTCTCCTGCACCGGAGACCCTGCTCCAGGACACCAAAACTGGCAGCACGTCTGTGCCGAGAGCCAGATTTTTGGGGCAGGCAGAGCTCAGTGTGAATGTGGGGCATGAAGAAAGACACCAAAGTATTGATGGCCCTTGGTAATGGGTGACCCTGGAAATAACCTCACCAGAGAGATATCCAGAAATAAACCAAGCTGTTGTTAGGCTGGAAGAAGCGGGCTCAGGCCAGGGTAGTGTTAAGCACTTCCCTGATACCCTTTCAATGCTGAAGAGCAGGGCTGGGATGGAGGCGAGAGAGATGAAGGGAGGTACAGGTAAGGAAGAACAGAAGGCACATAAAACCTGGTCCCATCCAGCCTCAGGCCCCAGCTTTGCATCAAATCCTTAATTTTGGGGCTCTTCTGCTGTCCTATGGCTGTTATATCAGGGAAGGAGGGAAAGGCACCTTTATCGCACCCCTGTGCAGGCACTGGTGCTGCAGGGCCAGGCCGGGGGAATTACTGGTAATTAGCAGCCCTCATTTGTAGCCGCTTGGCAGCCTGCCTAATCCTGCTAGAGGTACAGCCCAAGTGGACAGATTGGCTGTGCCTAATTAGTCAATAAATGTTTTCAGTGACTAATTGTGGGGCTGCTGCAGCCAGAGCCTCCCGGGTGCTGCAGGGACCCTGAGGATGCTTTGGCCCAGAGGTAAGGGAAGCGGGGCTGAGGTGGCTGCCTTGCTCCCAGGCATGGCTGTGGCTGTGGGTGAAGGAGAAAGCACAGGTGAGGATGGCGACTCTGGGAGAGAGCTGTGATCTGGCCCTACCCCTCCTGGCTCTGGGTTTGCACCCATTGCTGAAGTCTGGACCCAGCTGTGGGGTGCCCCAGCCCCTTGCCCCCCTTCCCAGGACCATGGTGGGGCAGAAGCATGGGCAAAGGCAATTCATCCCCTTTGCATCCACAGCAGCCCCAGCTCGGACCAGCCTGTACTAGCCGAGCGGGGTCCCCGTGGCAAGGGGTCACCCTGTGCTCCTGCAGCATCTACCACCCTCATCCTGCCCACCCTGCCCTGACCGCACCGCTGCGCGTCGGGCC